CGATAAGATTTATATAAGACTTATGATGAAATTGGTTATTAGGTAATAAAAATTTTGTGAACAGTAAATTTTTTACTTACCTTGTCCCTATTTTTTTGTATGCAACAGTAAACTGTGGCTTGGCATGCTTGGCCTTTTAATATAATAAAATAATGTATGTAACTCTTATAGAACAGTGTTATGTAAATTTTTCATAATGTGTGGTCACTTCATAAGATTTACATATTGTATTGGTAATGTACCTAACTTTTATTGAACAGTGTTACGTAAATCTTTCGTAATTTGTGGTCTAACAATAAAATAAAGTTGCGGAAAATATCATATTTGAATAACGTTTACTATCTGGGATTAAGTGTAGGAGATAAAATGCTACGTAAAGAAAAAGTGATCTTGCAAAATTATTGTATTATGCAAATAAAAAAGAGCTTACGGTGGAATTGAATTTGAATAACGTTTACTATCTGGGATTAAGTGTAGGAGATAAAATGCTACGTAAAAAAAAAGTGATCTTGCAAATTATTGTATTATGCAAATAGAAAAGAGCTTATAGTGAAATTGGGTATAGGAAATAGAACCGCTTGTGAACAGTACCGCTGGAAATAAAGTTGCGGAAAATATCATATTTGAATAACGTTTACTATCTGGGATTAAGTGTAGGAGATAAAATGCTACGTAAAGAAAAAGTGATCTTGCAAAATTATTGTATTATGCAAATAAAAAAGAGCTTATTGTGGAATTGGATTTGAATAACGTTTACTATCTGGGATTAAGTGTAGGAGATAAAATGCTACGTAAAAAAAAAGTGATCTTGCAAAATTATTGTATTATGCAAATAGAAAAGAGCTTATGATGAAATTGGGTATAGGAAATAGAACCTCTTGTGAACAGTACCGCTGGAAATTTTTTTAAATTACCTTGCCCTACTTTAATTACCTTGCCCTACTTTTTCGTATGCAACAGTAACTGCTGCTTGGGCTTTTAATATATTGATGGTTTCTATCATCGATGAACAAAATTCCTATCTACTTGGGGTTGTTGAATTCTTTTCGACTGTTGTCTTTGTTTTTGTCGGATAACATGTATGAGATTTTTGCTGAATCAGATTTCAGGTTCTAAAATTGGAGTACTTGATCATTAATTATCCTGGGAGAAGTATGAGGATTCTGATGTCTGGGACACATGATTGAAGCTAATGTGCAGACAACTTAGTTCAAGGCTCCATGTACTTGCTCAATGATTCCATCCCAGTCGCTTCTTTCTTGACAACTAATTAGCCGCTTCAGTTGCCACTTCTTTTACTCCTGTCAGCTTAATTTTTGGAACACCGTAAATGAAGTAATGATGCAGCCATTCTCAAAGCATCATAGATTCTTAGTAGAGAGATATTGTTAGTGCTTATATGCAGAGATATACTTTGGTCCTTGGTGGGATTGATTAAATCCTAGGAAATGCATCATTCCTGCTTTCGTTGGGACTTGTGAGTACCACTTTTCTTGTGAAGTAAGGTATGAGGACTTTCAGGAGAAGCAGTTTCGGAGAACTCAAGCCATGAGCATTACTCTGCATTAGATATCTGTCTTCCCAGATAAACCACTCTTATTGGTCGAATCGAATTCTTGTCCAGGCTCGGTAATTAATCCTCAGGCACCTTTGAAATACTAACACAGTAAAGAATAGTGAACGGTAATTTCTTGGCTTCATTTTAGTGGCGAGAGTCTACGTTGTTTGATTCAAATTTAATTTATAAAATGTATATCAAAAGCCATCACTTGCTAGAACAATTTGGCAATCCCCCAATAGTTGGGGCGCTTCCAAATCATGGATTCCAGGCGTCTTTATAGCATGACACTGCTGAAATTGGGTTTACTCTTTTGGCTATAACGCGATAGAGTAAAGAGTTACACCACTTCCACCAAAAAAAAGTCACTGCCTCCCATTGATTCCATCATTCCATTTTTTTCATTTCACATGAAATGCATAGTTTCTGTAGGCTTTCCCCATCAAGCTTCAACAAACAGTTGCACTATAGCTCCATCATCCATTATAGCAATTCTAGGTCCTTCCATAACTACCCTTCATTTGCCAACCTCTAGTGGAGTTTCTTAGTTGTTGGGTAGGAGAACTGCTGCAAGTATGTTCCCCGCTGGAAACCTAAAGCAGCTCACCCTATCGACCATGGTTGCAGCTGTTTCAACCATGTGCATCAACTCAGCGTCCTCCGATGGTGCTATAACCACCATGTTTGGCAAACAGATCATGTAAGCAATGTAGAATGCACCACAGAGATATGGCCAATCCACCTCAAACAAACCAACTCTGTCCATAGCGAACCAGCCCAGTAGCTTCTGGAGATCCACATCATTTACTACCTGCATTTTTTAAATGGACCACTTTGTTACAACATGAGTAGTATTTAGTAAGTTGCAAGATCCTAGTTGTTGTAGATTTTTATCTGATCATATCCTCTTTGGAGGAAAGATGAGTAGATGGCATAGAATGGCTTGAGACCTTCAGCAAGTAACCCAGCTGCAAAGGTGACAACATGTTGCTCAGTGATCCCCACGTCAAAGCATCAATTGGGAACTTCTTCTGGAAATAGTTGGGACCAGTCCCACCACCCATTTCAGCATGAATAGCTACTATCTTGTTGTCTGTCTCAGCTTCTTTGACTAATGATTCAGCAAAGTATCGAGTGTATGGAAGGGTAGAGGATTTCGGCTTGAATTGCTGCCCTGTTTTCACCAACCTTCACCACTCCTGGAAAAGAAAAAGACAGTTCAGAAGAGATATCTGGACGGTCTTGTGAATAAGGTCTTCCAAGCATCACAATCTGAAGATTACAATATGGATCAAAACAGATCCTAAAGGGCTAGGTAGATAGCAGCTTCTACGAACAACCTCAACCTTGCACCAACGCCTTCCAGTCCACCTGCATCTTAAAAAATCACTTCAGCTCGCACCAAAGCAGAACTCCATAAGCCAAAGTAACAAATAATCTTTAAAAACCAATTCAACGACCTTTTTAGAGCAAAACACTACCCTTCACCCCATATGATGACCGAGATATTGAACGGGAGCTCAAGGAGGGCTGTTGGGGACTCTTGGAATCGATGATTTCTTGCTGGTCTTCTTTGAAGGGCCAACTCCTCCATCGTCAACCAATGACTCCATGGAAGGCGGAGCAGTAATTCAGAAACCAGAATTGGAACAAAAACACAAAAGGATTGATTGATTATCTGAGATGCCAGAGCTTACAGCCTTTGAACAAAATACATATCCTGAGAATTTTAAACTGGAACTGACTAATTGTTCTAATTCATTCACTCCCACTCCCAGAAAAAAGCAAATCAATGGAAAGTTACAAATTTTAGGAATCTTGTACCAGACAAAGCCTTCCCTCCAAGATTCAATATAAGATTTGCTCATCAATCGTACAAAGTAAAACCATACGAATAACTCCAGGGCCATTGCCGAGAGGTGAAAGTTCCAACAAAATCAGCCCAGAGTTCATTGAGCGTCTTCTTTTTCGGCTTTTCTAGCTGCGGTTCTTCTAGCAACAAAACAAAGAGAGATGGAAGTGAGGTGGGCAAACACTTACATGGCTCGAAAAGTACTTCGCGATGGCACCTTCCTTCTCGCCGCCTTTGTTCTCACTGTGGTCCTCCTGTTCCAAATCGATTATGTATTCCGCCGTGTTTGAGTTTCATGGCGGCCGGCAGCAAGAGAAAACTTTAGGGTCTGCATTGCAGAGAGAAGAAAGGGGTTATGAGAGGGGGAGAGGAAAGCAAAAGAGAGCTAGTGGAAGAACCTGGGGTGAATTTGGGAACAGAGAGAGAAAGAATCCCAATTCCAATAGGAGGCGTGAATGAGGCTGGCTTGTCCCAGTGCACAGTGGAGTTGTTGATTAGTCAGTACAATGTAAGGCTGGTGCCTTGTCCAAGCAGCTGTACAGAGGCAGCATGGGCTGTAGCCCGCGCGAGCGAAGAGGAGGTAAGGTGGAGAAGCACAGTAGAGTGGTCAGGGGAGAAGTCTCTCTCAATCCAGAGGAGTAAAGTGAGGACCATTCAAATGCATGGGTGATGGCGTGTTTAGCAGCTGTAGCTGTGAAGAGTTCGCCACTTAAAGAAGAAAACAAGAGTTGTCAGATACGTGATATGATTGAATTGCAGATTTTGGGACTGAGGGTGAAGGGAAGGGGAAACAGAAGCATGGGCAGCTGTGAGCCTGTGAGGGTGGGTAAAATTTTTGGTGGAGCCGGCTGCGCGTAGAAGGTTTTTTAGAGCTGGTTGAAGAAGTTTTTTTCACAACACGACAAATAATGAAACAATAGAGGAAATTTTGAGCCAATAAAGTGTAGTTGGCTATTGTATATAAGATAATTGCCACTGTCAGGGCCTCTTATCTTATGGTCCTTTTGCCCACTCCAGTATCTTTTTGGCCCAATACATTCAGCATCAAGTTTTTTCTAATCTCTTTAGATCTGGAGATAAAACATGTCATATTTAAAATCCTAGCAATATAAGAAAATAAAAAACAACAGGGTAAATGCCACATTTGATTATTGGGATTATTAAATCGTATCATGTTTAGTCACTAGAAAATTAATATCAAATTTGGTCACTCGAATTAGTAAAACATATCTTATTTAGTCACTCTCCGTTAGTCTCCGTCCGACTCAGTTAATAGAGTCCGTTATGTGCTGATGTGGCTAACGGGAACGCCTAGCCAACGCCGTTTTGGACAAAAAATGGTCAAACCCAACCCAACTCGCCACGTCACTAACCCACCATGTCATACACCCAACCCAGAATCAAACCCAAGCCCGTCACACCACTAACATACCTACACCCAACCCAACCCATTAAACCAACCACCGTCATCCGGCGACCACATCGGCGGGTGCAAGTGCAACCACCCGTCCACCACCAAGTCAAGGAACATGAACTCGCTCTTCAGCTCGCCCCAAAAATCGCTCAGACTGGGCAGCTCAATAATCTCACTCAACCCCTCCAGCGAAGACGCCGCCAGAATCGTTGTCCGCAGTCCGCTTCCCGTCGAATTGGTCCATTAGGGCGGCCTTGGCTGTCTAGACGTCCCGGGCGCGACAGAGGTTGGCCGTGGCAGGGAGCTAACCAAGTCGGGGAAATTGAGAACTTCATATCTCCCCTTGATGTAGAGCGCCGCCACATCCTGGGCGCGCGCCACCATTTCAGTCGCCAGGAAAGTACCCAGCCAGATTCGCGATTTCTTGCGCAGCTCCCTGATTTCGGGTACCCATTTCCCCCCAGCTCCGCATTCGGACTCCCCTGTACACCGGGTGCTTGCTGCTGCAGTCTCGTATCCGCTTTGTCTTTTTGCTGGTAGAAGTAGGGAAATTCGGCGAGTCCCCATCATCGTGATGATCTTGCAGCTGCTGCTAATGTTGTTTCACTGGGGAAGACGACGATGAAGAGGAGGAGGAGAACGAGTTGGAGCTGCTCTCCTGCTCTGTATTTCGTGGTCGATGTGGTTCAAGCATTTCGTCGAACAGTGTTCAATGCAAGCCAGGAATGGAAACAGGAAGACATGGATAGTGACAAATCTTAGTGAGACAAGGCAGGGCAATGGGGAAATTACAATTGTCGTCGAATGGTGATTGACAAAGGAGCAGCGCTTCGCGAGGAAGGGGAAAAGGTTTTGCTCTGTTGACAGGCTGAAGGCCCGTCAAAACAAACGTGAAGCGCAAATGTAATAAAAGCAAAAGATGAACGCCCACCGTGGGGCTCGAACCCACGACCACAAGGTTAAGAGCCTTGCGCTCTACCAACTGAGCTAGACGGGCTTGATGAACTTTGGTATTTATAGTCATATTAAAATAATGGAAGTACTTAGATTACGACAAGTTTAAAAAAACCAGTACACATCAAAGTATCAAACAGACCAGTACGCTATTTTTCTGGGGCTTAAAAATAACAATGAAAGATCTCAAACTCACAAAAACAGCGCACTAATTAATCCACTTCTCCACTGACATACGAGTACAATCCATCACAAAGAAAACTCTGCCTAAGCTTACACAACACAAGCTAACCAACCTTTTTCTTTTGCCATGTTAACACAAAAACAGAGCTGTAAGAAAACACTTGGACGCCCTTCCAGTCACCAAATGAATCCCATCCATTGTTAAAATGTGGCACACTGGAGATCTATCCATCATAGGCTTCAGCTACCTGAAGAGTTCTGATTGCGTCGTCGGTCTAGTCCGATTTGAAACCTGCATTGCGGTCTTCTCCGTCATTCATTCCTTGCAGCTGAACTCGTAACAAAAACCGAAAGCAATGTTAGAAAATTAAGCTATCCAAACCCACAACATTTGTTCCATAAATGGAGATGGTTTTGATGGTACCTTCTGGAGGAGCTTCTTTTGATAACGGTAGCCCTGAACGGGAAAAGAAAGGAGGTGAACATGATTAGAAGAACGACTTAGATATCGAAGGAGAATGTATACTGATATAGTTGATTCTCAATGTGTTTTGGTCTGTTTTACTACTCACCTTGTCAGTTCCATAGATGTAATCACAGTAGGTGAACACTGATGCGAAGTTGCTCTGGCTTTGGCCCCCAACATAGTGATGATAATCATGGTAATCGGCACCACCATAGAATGGTATGTATTTCGTGAGGCTCCATGGGAAGTCATATCTGCACCACAGAGAACGAAGATATGAAACCTTCAAATGGCAAGCACAGGCAATATTACTAAAATCATTCAAACTAATCACAACATCCCTTGATAAATGCAAACATATAAAAAGGAGCTAAATTTGAACCAACTTCAAAGCAACGCAACTCCAACAGGATATAACCTTCAAATGGCAAGCACAGGCAATATTACTACAATCATTCAAACTAATCACAACATCCCTTGATAAATGCAAACATATAAAAAAGGAGCTAAATTTGAACCAATTTCAAAGCAACGCAACTCCAACAGGATATAAGATTCCATATCTGCTTCTGAGAAAAGAAACCCAATAAAGTTCAAATCCCCCAGTTTTATGCCTCTTGGCTCTTAAAGAAATTTCTAATGCTTGGTGGGTGTTTCATTCCCATGTAGTCACTTTCCAGGTACAGTGGCATTGACTATCGGATCAGCAACTCACCATCATTTCTTCCTTCACAGTTGCTTTCAGATAAGGACAGCAGACCTACCGGCTGCATAATTAACTACATATAACGTTAAATACTAGACTTACCATCATTTTTGTTATAGATACTCTATATTTCATACGAAATAATGATTCGAGGTGATGTTTCATTCTACTGTACAATCCACTTCTCAGGCTCAGTACACAAGTATTACTGTCTCCATCAAGCCACCAATGCTTTCTTCTAGTTGCTATGTTAAATGTATTGCAAATGAGGATAGTTACTGATGACGTGCATGAAATCGTATGATGATACTTCACTAGCCTCATCTTCCCTGTGTAATGCTCAGCCAATGGATAAAGTAGCAGTGGCTAAAGCAGGAGGAAAGCGAACATCATATCACGTTCCACAATTGATTAACCACCCACTTTGGGAAGAAATTAACAAAAGCAACTGAAAGAACCCTATGGTGGCTCGATGGAAAGCAAATCACTACAGGTTCTCTTTCCATCAAACACTCGCACTCACTCGGGTCACTCCCGGTTTTGCTAGTTCAGCTAACTTTTCCCCATTATTGAAAAGTTCTTCGAAAAGTTAGCTCAGAGAACAGCAGAGCACTGTAAAAAAGGGCTTGATCTTAAGCATCATTTAAGGACCACCATTTGACTGAGGACACTCCAAATCCACTTTACGGAAAGGAGTTTTTAAGGTGAATCAAAGGGATTTGTAAAGTACTCATAATCTTGTCACGATCACCATAAAAGCAGAGGTAAAGGTGGAATATATAGATAGTAAGAGTAGCCAAAAAGCAGATGCATGCGTACCCACTGTGCGTATCTATGGCCTCCATCTGCCGCAAAGCAATCCACAGCCAGAAAGTGATCATGTGACCAGGAACCATTGCTGGTCCCAGGAAAGATGGGATCCCAAGGATCAAGATTTCAGCCCAGTGAGCGTACGGTGCAGCAAATGCAATTGGCGCTGTGTACTCGTGATGAACCTTGTGAATGTTCTCGTACCCCCATTTGCCGTGAAGGAATCTGTGGACCCAGTAATTGGTATAATCCTCAACCACAAAGTAAACAAACAACTGGGCAGCAATTTCCCACCCTGACGGCAATGGCAGCCCTGTATGAATCCCAACAATCTGGAAAACAAACAGCAAATAAATCAAAAGATTCACGAAATCCAGAAAACCCCAAATCGACAAAAGACCCAACTCGGAAAACCAATCAACATCCAACAACTTCTTTTCTTACCTTGACGGAAGGGTAAGAGACGAGCTGCAGAGGACCGACGATGAAGAAGAAGGTGAGCATGACGTCCTTGTAGCACTTGAAGATTTCAGCAGTGGAGAGCTGGACTTTGGGCTGAATCTTGTACTTGCCGAAGGAAGGGGATCGGAGCAACTGGATGAAGACGATCGGGAGCGGAACCACCGAGAAGATTAGGAAGAGGAAGAGAATGTTGTGGCAGAAAAGGACGTAATCGGACTTGTCGGCGGAGTAATTGAACCAGAGTGTCTCGGCGTAGGTCAGGTTGCGGCCCAAGTGGGCCGCCGCCTCCTCGATTGATTTGTAGGGTAGCATTGGGGGGAACGGCGACGGCGGCAGCGGAGGTTGCAATGTCCGGCGACGGCTGCGGGCGGCGAACTGGGTAATTCGGGGCGGAAGTTGTGGAAAGGGGATCAAATACTGAAATGTGAAGAAGAACCCAAAAATTGGAATCGCAGAAGGAGTGGGAGACTGATCTCTGAGCAATGAGGAATGGGATTTTTGTCTGGTTTTAAAGCCGGCACCATTCCATGTGGACGGTTCCCTCCTCTTCCTTTCACTGCCAGTAGACCTGCTTTATATAAATATAAAAAAATTCAATTTCAATTTTTTTTTTATCCCTAATTCTGGATTTTTGTTATGAAAATATTATTATTATTATGGATGACCAACATTAGATGCTCCATGGTATGTTACAAGTTCTATGTAACTCATCTCCTTATATTTATTCTCCATATGACACATTAGTTGCACAATTGGGTGTTACATGTAACCCCCCACCCCATTTCTATTTCACATTCATTCTCACATTCATGTATATTGATTGTAAGAATGTAGAGGTTATGTGATGTGTGCCTATAAATAGATGGTCTCCTTGTACTAAGGAACATATGAATAAGAAAGCTCTATTCCCCTTCTCTTCTTGTGTCTCTACTCTTACTCTTGTGTATGTTCCTCTTCCTTGTTATTTAATAACACGTTATCAGCACGAAGCTCTACCAAAGTAATGGTTGGTCATTGTCTCTCTACATAATCACATATACTTGAGTAAGATCACAACACGATCAAGGTATGCAAATTTTCATGTCATTTCTTGTTAGTATGTTTATATATCTCATTGTCTTTGAGAGATTATTTGATCTTGTTATTTGTTCATATTATTTTATGAACTTATTTTATATTTGTCAATCTTGTAACATAGAGTTTGTGCTTGGACATTATCAGATAATGAAAATTGCTCCTGTTGTAGCAAAATCATATGAGTTGACTTATCGATTGCTACATTGGACATATAGAGAAATGAAAGTCTAAAGATCTCATTTTCCCCCGAAGTGGAAAAATGAAGAAAAATGTGTCAAATGAAAGAAGTGGATCTGGTAACAAAAATGTCAGAATATGAGTTACCATTGCGATGGGGAAAAAAATACACCGGAAGTTTGGATAACGACAATCAACAAATGTTTCTTTTCACCGGAAGTGAAAGATAAAATTATTATAAATGAGGATGACACAAGAATTCATGTAGCAAAAGTCATGATCATATACTATAACCTCTGTATGTCGAAATGTGTAATGAAACACATATATATTGATGTTATTATTATTATTTTGTATACTTTTGTATAGAATGAATATTTGCAAAAGCCACTACTGGTATTATATCATATAGTATGAAAGTAAGAAAAAGCTCCGGAAGAGATTGTGTTTTGTTACTTGAAGTAACTAAACAATATATTGGTGATATTAATAGTATGTAAATATTCTTATCACTATGTATATGCTTACAATAGTTCACCGAAATCAAAAGGTGCCTAATGACCAAAATGTAGTACAAGAGTATGTGAAAGCTCCAGAAGAGCTAATGTTTTGAGACGTGAATGAACTAAACTCTCAGTTGAAGATGCATTACCGAATTATGAAGATATTCGCAGAAAAGAATATCATAATTTATATTGCATCAGAAATGTGTTATAAGAGAACATATACTTCACTGGAGAAATTTGTACTACATGTATATTAGTACATATGAAGGTGTAAACCAGAAGTTTGCAAGATCGGATAACTTTTTATTTTGGCATGTCCGGTCATACCATCCCGGATACAGATGCAAAAATGATTGAGATATCATACGGAAATTAAGTGAGAGTTCAGAGAATTCATCAATCAAAAGATTGATTATGTGATACATGGTCTCGAGGAGAATATACTCGTGAAAATAATTGAATTTGTTGAGATTTTATAAAAGTGTATGCAGAAAAATACACTCACCGTGCAAATCATATATGAATTTTATGATTTTGGTTGATTCATCAACTATATCATCATATATGTCTGTTATCTAAATGCAACCTGATGTTTGCGAGATTAGTTGCCGAATGATGGATATATTTTGATGATTATCCAATCAAACAGAACTTCTCTTATGAGAACAAACTAAGTCTATCGATCTCTTATCGAGGCATATGATATCATTAATTCGCATGAAGCCAACAAGTTATCATAAGTTCTCCCCTTTCATACAAATGGTTTTGGTCAGGGACCAAACATTTAAAATGCTAGAAAATTTGGGTGTGCAGAATACATCCCAATTGATCCACCACAACACGTTATGAGTTCCATGAGAACTTATGTTGGACATGGTGTCCATTGCAATGAGAGATTTGTTCATGACTCTTTTTGCTAATATCATCATTTTGATGAATTACTTTTCGAACGTTAAGGGGGAGAAAAGTAAACACTAGGGCATAGATGTGAGTTGGAATCATCATCTCATTTTGATCCTCAAACGAAGAAACATGAACCTGAAGTTCATATGGTGATTCATGGAGGAAAAAAACGTATTGATTGCCAAACGCCTTTTTACTCACTAAAAGGAGTGATTATGTCAAATGCCCAGTTGTGAATGCTCCAATACAAATTGATGTCCATATTGGATAATCTAATGAGTCTAAACGAGCGCATGAAGCGTGGTAGACCAATCGGTTCCAAGGATAAAAATCCTCGAGAAAGGAAGGAGCTATAAATTAAGATGGTAAACTCGAGGATAAAATAGCTCTAGAAGAGTCAAGTCATAAAATTGAGATCATAGTTCCAGAAGAATAGTAGGTACCTGAACGTTTTAAAATGAAGAGATCTCAATTAATTGGCTTGTATGAAAAAAGTTGGAACCGAAGTGTATTTATTGTCGACAAGGGTTTTGATTATGCTGCAGCACTGAACGTGATAGATACAAAGAGGATCAAAAGTAAAAGTCTATTGATGCATGCAGAGAAATATATATTGGCCAATATAAAAGAAAGCATTAGGCTATTTGGTATAAGTTTTGGACCAGAAGTCCTTACACCTGAAGATGTAAAACTAATGGGATGCAAATAGGTTTTGTGCAAACGCGTATGGAAATTGCGAGAGATATAATACAATTTCTCGTGAGAGGTTTCTGGTAGAAACCTGACATCAATTATGAAGAGACATACTCTCTTGTGGTGGATGCAACTATGGTGTGCAATTTAAATAGTTTGGCAGTTCAAAAGGCATGAAATTTGCATTTGGTAGATATTGTGATAGCCTATTTGTATGGATCCCTTGATAATGATATTTATACGAAACTCCCTGAAGGATTAGTTTGTCAGAAGCAAACATGTGAAGTTCTCGAGAACAATATCGATCGATAAAACAATCCCTTGTATGGATTGAGATAAAATGGATGAATATGGTATATTCATCTAAGTGAATATCTACTAAAGGAAGTGGTCGAATAAGCCTTGCGTGATTAAATTCGAATAAAGTGCATTAGAGCATTTGCATTTGGCATGTGTGATTGTGTAATGACATATAAGCTTATGTGCGTGATATTGTGGTTTTAGTTATGAGTTTGATTTATGAATATGGTTTGGTTAAGTGATATTGTGTGTATGACGTGCCTTTTGCTTGTGGCCGTGTGGTATGAAGTAATTGTTTGCATACAATTGTGTTAGCTAAGTTTCATAGTTATATGGAAGAAAAAAGTCGAGAAATTATTTTATAATGATCTCATATCTTTTAGTTGATATGAACTCCAAAAGACCTTCATAAAGCATGTTTTGCTTAATGAAAGAAAATTGAACTCCAGAAGAGTTTCATGAAGCATGGATTGCTTAAAGAAAGAAAATTGAACATGAAGGATTTAAGATCCTTTTTGAATCAGTACGACAATGTCGGAAAGGTGAAAGGACAATTTTGTATGGAAAAAATTGCATATGTTCAATAGCTTAATGATCACATGGTCACTAGAAGTGAACAAAGATCAATTTAGGCATTGAGATAAAAGTGAATTATTAGGTCCTGAAGTACCGTATGTTAATGTCGTTAGAGCGAAAATGTATCTCGCTATACTTCGTTACTATAGGTAACGATGAGGATCATAGATGAGTTGTTTACCTATGGTCGTACAAGTATCTCATGGAGATTTCAAAGAAATCAAAATAGCAACTGATCATGCACAATGGTCAACAATTCATGAGATTTGTTATGAATTGTTTGGTTAAGATTTGTGATTCAACACGTCTAAATGACTTGTAGTTGTGGATTCTCTTCATAAAAAATGATTTTGAAGATCATGTATGAAGAAAATGGTCCTAAGGGATCATGCATAAAGTGACAATCTAGAAGATTTGTTCACTAAGAAGCTTACCATGAGAAGATTTGAAAGATTTATTTACAACACTATACTTTGATGTTGTCATGAGGGGGAGCATATACGCACTGCACTCTTTTTTCCTTAACCGTGGTTTTTCCCACTGGGTTTTCCTGGTAAGGTTTTTAACGAGGCAGATTCAGATAGCGTATTATGATGATTATGTACTCTTTTTCCTTCACTAGGATTTTATCCCACAGGGTTTTTCCTAGTAAGGTTTTAACGAGGCATATTCATGTCTAATGGTCATCCAAGGGGGAGTGTTATGAAAATATTATTATTATTATGGATGACCAACATTAGATGCTCCATGGTATGTTACAAGTTCTATGTAACTCATCTCCTTATATTTATTCTCCATATGACACATTAGTTGCACAATTGGGTGTTACATGTAACCCCCCACCCCATTTCTATTTCACATTCATTCTCACATTCATGTATATTGATTGTAAGAATGTAGAGGTTATGTGATGTGTGCCTATAAATAGATGGTCTCCTTGTACTAAGGAACATATGAATAAGAAAGCTCTATTCCCCTTCTCTTCTTGTGTCTCTACTCTTACTCTTGTGTATGTTCCTCTTCCTTGTTATTTCATAACAATTTTCTAATTGTCTATGGCTGTGTTTTTTCCTGAGCGTGCAAAATTTCAGTTTAATACTTCAACCTTCACGCGTTGATTAGTTTGGCTCATTGAACTTTTGTTTTGACGAAAAAGAAAGCTGTTGACTACTATTTTGGTCGTGAAATGGAATGGATACACTATTGTAGGTGTTTTAGTTGATAAGATTTGTCTGATGTGGTTTAACTATTTGTTTGATTTTGTGAGAGCTTCTTACTAAATCAGTTTGACTGTTTTTTCTTAGTAAATTT